CACATTTCTGAACTGCTTATTCTATTATGAAGGCTATTCAGTGAGAATCACTTTTATGTTAGCAATGCTCCTTATTATTAGGCATTGCCGCGAGAATCAAGGAAAACGTTTGGCGGTGACCTCAGCTGGAAAGTGTTCCCAGCCAAATCCTTCTACGTACAAGAAGAAGCGTTGTAAATACAGCCTCAACAACGTTTGTCTCCGATTGTTTGGAAAAGATTTTGGAAACACCGACAACTTTTAGCTCGGATTGTTTGGAAACGATTCTTAATCATAACCTCTTGTTAAAATCTTCTCAGTAAAATGAGCCAGATGATTCGGCAACTGTCTTTTTCCCCTCCTCGTTACATCACAGGTCACGTGGTCGGAGGCAACGACTAACTAAGCAGGTTTGATGGAGACAGGGGATGGGGAGTTTCAGTTTGTCACACAAAAAAAACATTTCGAAGGATGGAAGCGTCAGGAAAATTAGCCTTCGATTACAAGGGGAATTATACGCTTCTCTTAGTAAATACTTAGCTAGTTAGCCGAAATAGATCTGTGTGGCGTTACGTTGGCCTACTAAGCAGCCCGTTTTTGGCTGTTTACCTGGCTAAATTGTTTTTACGACACGTAACTGTTTTGCGTTCAATTCTCTATTTTAGTTCAGGGGGTTAGTTCACCTTGCACTCGCTGTCGACTTTTGAGGCGTCATACCCCGAGGGCAAGGCCAAAGATATATATTCATCCTGACCAAAAAGACTTGTCGAACTCGCAGTCTCTAGTGATTCTGGCTCATCACCACAGTCTCCCTGAAGTTCAACATTCTCGACAAAATGTTCCTTTCTAAAGTGAAAAGGTGCGCCAGTCTTGCACGAAACAATTACTTTCCCTAGACCAACAACAACGATTGCTGGATTGATCTGAACGCTGTTTTCAAATAGGTACTCTCCTTCTTTCATTAAAACAATTTGATTTACTCCTTCAGGCTCCGCTATTTCTTCAAGAAAATTGCGCAGTTCATCTGAATTTTCAACAACATGGATCTGCAACGCTCCATAACGTTGAATGACTGATGAAATATCGCGACCAGAGCTCAAGTGGTTAAACACAGCAGCAGAGGCCAAGGCTTCGTATTTCCTCCCCAACTCTGTCATAATCGCAGCTCTGGTAGAGTAGCCAAGTAACCAAGAAGGGTCAGCTCTGATGGTGGATTTGGTGTCTTCCACACCAAGCTCTAGCAAAGATTCCCGCTGACACGTGTTGTTCTTTTCTTTCGCTGCTTTCAAGAAAGTCGAAGCCCTTGCTGTAAGAAGCTGTGTGTTTTCTGGACATGAGGCCAATACCTTGCTATACAAAGACAACGCCTGGTGTAACTGTCCACGATCGAGGCACTTTTTAGCATCCTCTTTGTTCATTCTGATGAACTCCGCGGAGGGTGTTAGTTCAATGTTGTCGATGTAAACAGTTTTATCCAGGAACAGTGGAACGCCTTTGACACAGGTGATTTCGACCTTACCAAGGCCAACTATCACTGCATTTGATGGAACCTTTAAAGGCTGAGTTAGCACATATTTCCCACTGCGAACCACAATTACGAGACTGTTTTCACTTATCTCTACGGCGCGCCCGAGATCTTCAGAAGCAGCTACGTCTTTTACAATGTAGCATCCAAAATGCTCGACAACAGCAGGTATTTGGGTCCATTGCAGTGGAAACAGGCATTCAGCAACTGCAGCTGCAGCAAGTGATGCACCTCTTTGCCCAAGTTCAGCAAGACAAACTGCCTTCCAGTAGTATCCCTTCACCCAAGAAGGATCTGCAGATATCGCGCTAAGAGAGTCTTGAAGAGCATGTTGAAGAATGTTCTGTTGCTCTTTTAAAGGTTGACTCTGTGCTTTCTGCTTAGAAAGCTTGACTTGCGCAGACGCTTTGTTAGTTAATAACTTAGCATCTTTTGGAGTCAAGTTTAAGGCTTTGTTATAGAATTCCAGTGACCTCAAATAGTCGCCTAAACTGAAAAACGCGTTACCTGCATCTTTGTAACGCCTTGAACGGTCCCCAATTGAATCCGCGCAAGGTCTGCATTGGCACTGTTCAGGCCGGCCCTGGCAGCTTACAAATACTGGTAGTTGGCGACTTCTAAACACATCCTCTTCATCAGTTCTAGAGAGGATATTTACTGTCATTAAAAAGCAACGTGCCTCTTCCATATCTGGGAAGATGGAGCCATAATGCTTCATTCGCAGGGAAACAAATGTTTCCCCAATTCGTCGGTAAATGGCCAAAGTTTCCGCGGAAAATTTCGAATTATTACTCTCTCTGAGAGCGATACAAACGCATTTCATTAAACAGTGTAACGGTACATCAATGAAATCTTCGAATCCGTCATCAAGATAAGGAATACAGTTATTCACATAGCCATCTAATATACAACTGTATATATGGGGACATCTGTATTCTAATATCTCTAGCAATACGTCCTTCATGACTTCGTGGTTTAATTCACATAAATATGACAGAGAAGAGTGCATCCCACATCCCACATCCTCTGACCAAGGAGGTAGCGTCATAGAAATGTCTCGCATTTCTTTGGCGTATATTTTACTTTCCTTTAACTTGCCGCTGTCGTAAAGTACCACGCTGGCGTACTGAAGCATCCGCAGCAACTTTGGGTCATCCGAAGAATAAATTTTCTTTGCTAATTCTATGGCTTCCATGGCACGATGGCCGGTTTTTCTTTTCATCCCATAATTTTCTACAACCGCAATGTGCATTAGTAGCTCTGCGGTATTAGCAGCGCTTGTTGGTAAGTTTAAACTCTCAAGCTCCAACAAAGCATTGTACCATTTTTCCACCTCTCCTTCAACAAAGAAAAAATTTGCCTTATGAAAGAGAACTTGGAATTTGACATCGGCTTCTATAACAACACCAGATTTCTCAAACTCAAACAACTTTCGCACAACATTATCCATCAATTTCTTTCCTTCGTTTGCTCCTTCAGTGTTCCATTTGATGATACTTGCGTTGGTCATCTCAAAGAGGAGCTCGCTCGGATCACTGTCACCGAAAACCACTCTAAAGAGTTGCAAGAAGAAGTCCGAGAGCTCTGCATTTAACAAACAAAGAGACCTCCGTGTCCTAGTTAGATCATGTACAAGTTTGCATAAATGATAGGTGTCCACATTAAAAAGATCACTGGTGTCATCCTCCTTTGTCTCGTTCATTTCCTCTTTCATATAACTTGTCAACTTGAGGAAGTGCAGCAAAAGAGAGAAAACAATAAGCTGGTCCTCTAAATCCATTTCGTAAAGGTCGCCTGACCTGAAATTCTCGAATACAGGAAACTGTAAAAACGCAAAGCGAAGAACGCGAACGCATTCCACCAATGTCTTTATCCTTTCTGATTTCGTAAGGCTGTCTCTAACAACTTCTTGGACAAGCTTGTGGACTCGGAACAGTTTACACTGGTGGTTTACCGAGAAAAGAGAGTAGCTTGATAGTATCTTCAGGATGTCGCCAATATCTGAATAAGAGAATGAACATTCTCTCAGTTCCTCCTGATTACATTCAGGGAATCCACGATTGATGACATTGAAAGGAATAAATTCAGATTCAAAAAAAGCAGAAATACGCATAATCTTTGCAGCGGCAGGTGACCTTTCTTTAACATATTCGAAGTTCACCACCCAGGTTGTGTGAGTTGACAACCTATGTTGTGCTTCCAGACTTAGAGCAGTGGCATGTTGCTGTTTTAAAAGACGAAGCTTAACTTCTTCATATCTCTTCAGGTAATCTTTAAAATTAAGTGGAAGAGGGCTGGAAGATATGTACGCTGCGGCTTGTTCGAGAGCTAGCGGTAGGGATCCCAGTTCTTTCGCCAAACAAATAGCTTCTGGGTCAAGATCGTTCCCTCCTAGACCTGTCCGTTGCATTAGAAATAATGCACCTTCTTCTTCACTGAAGCAGTGTAACTTCAAACAATCATCACTTGAAATCTTCAAAAACGTTCTACTCTGTGTTGCATTTGCTCTGGTTGTAACAAGTATATGACCATGCTTCCTTGGAAGGTGCGTTCTTTGCCACAACCCTTTGCATATCTTCTTAACACCTGCTGGACAGTTTGGATCATTTAATTCATCGGCATTGTCTACCACAAGAAGCCATGGACGTTTCATTTTGGACAACCATGACACGAATTTGTTCAAGATGTCCTCTATGTTGTCGGTTACTGAGGCGCTGATATTGACAAACGTAAGTATTTCGACCACGGATTTCCGTACATTTTCATCATTTTCACCGTTGACCCAAAACACGCCTCCTGGGAAGCGATGCTTGTAACGCCAAGCAAATTCTATAGACAGCGAAGTTTTTCCACAGCCTCCAAGGCCGCATATTGTTTTAATAGAAGATGAGGTTCTGGGTTTCTTCTCAGGGTTCAGCAAAACAAGATTACTTTCAAGCCATTCTAGTTCTGATTTGCGGCCGGTAAACACTGTTAACCAATCCGGTGCCGTGCAAAGAATGTCATCGTCGTCATCTTCCTCGTCATCGTTCTCGTTTCTCTTGTGTGGACCAAACTGGGCTTTGTGTTTTAATGTCTTTACTTCTTCTTTAACCTCCATGACATCTTCTTGTAATCTTGAGATCGAACTTTTGTGTTCATCTAAGTCATCACAAATAACCTCAATTGTGTTTCTGAGATCATCTCTTTGGTTTAGGAACTTGTTAAAGGCAGCAACTTCAATCAGTATCGTGGATACATTTTCAGACACGTTTCTTGACTTTTCTTCCATTTGCTGCCTCAGTGTAGTGATCTCAGATTTGTTCGCATTACTTTGTTCTTGGACCTGAGATAAATGTCGAAGTGTATATGCCAAGTCTTCTTGGCACTTTCTCAGATCGGCCTCCAGACATTGCCGCAACAAGTGAAGAGCTTCAACCTCAGACACTCTGAAGTTAATCAGACCTTGACGGAACAAATCTTGTAGATCACTGGACGCTTTTCGGGCTGATCGTTCAGAGTTAAACACTGGGTCACTAAGCAGATTATTGAGATGACTAAATATAGTTGGAACATCGGTATCACAAATTTCTTGTTTTGCAGCATGCGCCCAACGATTTCTGCATTCATCTCTTGCTGAATTCAAAAGAGTTCGACTCACAGGGGGATTGATAAAAGGACACCATTCTAACAAATTCAAAAGACCACCAATGTCGGTTCCATCTGCGTCGATGACATCCTTTGCCCGGCTTCCAAGAGTTGGCATATAAACTTTAGCTATCTCCCATGCCCCAGTCGGAGATCCCCACTGTGTTCGGTCACTGTTGTCCCAGCAAATCTTTGGTCTCCCGGACTTGTGGTGACGTTTCAGTTCCTTTTCCCAGGTGACGCAAGTGGCGCACTTTGGTGCTGAAGGTGCGCATGCACAAGGGGGAAGTGACTGAAGCGGTGGACTGGAAATAAGGGACTGGTACCAAGTTTCCAATTTGTTTTGAATTTTTGGTGCTATTCCTTTTTTGGCAATGTTAAGAGCACAACCAACCATCACCCAGTTTTTGTGTTCTTTCTTATCAAGCTCTGCTACCCAACCGCCAGATGCCATCATGATATTGATTTCCAGATAAACTGAGAAACAGTACGTCTTAGAACTAAATGAAAAGCCAGCGCTACAGTTGAGGCTATGTGTCTAGTTCTTTGTACCTTGGTAATTACAGATATGTCCCTTTCCAGGCTCCTTGTGGCATTTCCTAACCGAGGATCTGCAACGAAAAGACCAAAAAATCTTAACACATGAATAGTTACCTTAAATGCTATAAGGTTCCCTAGAATGACCTAGACTAGCAGCAACGAGAATTTTGTTTAAACGTAAAAATAAGAATTTGCCACTTAAGGGGCAACCGAACGGACCCGAGATATCAGCGAGGTTGGATCCAATAAAGAAGAAGATATTTTTCTTTTAGTAACAAGACTATGTTAACGAAGACTCTGTAAAAAGATAAAGTGAACAAAAAGCTACCCATTAAAGCGATTTACGGAAGGTGGGGGCACACCGTTTACCAGGTTTGAATTCTTGAACAGTGAAAACCCGCGCATAAGAACCTAGTGGATTAGAAACCTCCCGGTAAACTTTGTCACTGTAATACTAAAAAATACAAGAACCTGTTCAACCAAGCAAGATCAAGCAGTTTCTTATATGTGGGTTACAGTTAAATTATGAAAAACAATTTAACCAACTCCCATTAGTTTAACCTTAAGATTGTAAATTTAAGTATAATTACAAGAACATACTGTACTAAACTGCCATTACAGATATGCGTACTAATCCCTACAACAATAACAAGTTTATATAAATTACAGACTGTAATTATTGTCTTAATGGACCTTGGAAAACGAGGCTTGCAAACTACTGTATGTATTCTTGCAGTTTAACAGTCTAAAACTTTTGCTGATACTGCACATTTAAGAACCCAATTTTATGTATTTTTTTGGTAATCAACAATTATCGCCTTCATTTTAAGAACCTAATTAAGAACCTGCTTTGCCTAAATTGCCAATAAGTACCCCAAAATACAAAAACCTATTTTAGCTATTTTTTGTTGTTGTTTTTTTTTTTTTTTTTTTGGAATGAATGACTCTAAAAATTAGGCTGGATTAAGGATAGTGGGTGTCCAGGGGGGGTGGTTGAATGACTCTAAGAATGAGGCTGCATTTATAATAATAATAATAATAATAATAATAATAATAATGGTTTATAGCAGAGTATCCAACAAATGAGGTTCTTCATCTACAATATCTACACTATAAATTTACACTATAAATCAAAAAAATTAATAATACAAAAATACAAAAATATATATATATATATACAACACAATAATAATAATAATAAATATAGAGTGTATACATATTTACAGTTGTGTTTGCTGTTTAAGATTCCTTACATAAAAAGTGTCTTTTTACACTACGACAGAAGGAATTGTACTCAGTTATGTTTCTAATAGCTACAGGGTGTTTATTAAAAATAGTTGCTGCCGAGTGCTGAAATGTCCCTGATTCTCTCGGAATAGAAGGGACAGGCGCAATCGAATACCTTACACTATAAGCACTGACCTTGTGTAAATTTAATTTAAGATATTCAGGAAACATTTCATCATATAGCAACTTATGAGCTAACTTAAGTATATTTAGTTTAATGTTCTTATTCACTGGGAGCTAGTTCAACTCCAGGGTCTCTCCTTCTCACCTCTGTGGAATCAGGCTGCATTTAGGATAGGCAGTCCTGGGCCTCTCAGAGGCTGTATGAAGAATGGGGAGTCTGGGGTGTCTCCCTTTCTCCCCTGGGGTGGAGTAATGAAAGACCCTCAGCTAGGAATGAGGCTGTATTTAGGATAGTAATTGTTGGATCTCTCTCGTTCAAATCTGGGATGAGGTAGTATAACACTATGAAAATGATGCTACTTTTAGGATAAGGATCTGGGTCTGCTATCTTCCCCTCTGTGGTGAGGTAATGATAGACTCTAAGAATTAGGGTGGATTTAGGATAGGGAGTATCAGGGTCTCTCCTACTCCCCTTTGGGGTGGGGTAATGAAAAGACCCTGTGAATCAGTTGTCCTCATGGACTGGTGTTTTATGCTGAACTTAAATTTCTAATAAATTATAAAAGCAATGAAAGTTGTCAATGAAGGGGAGTCAGATTAACATAAACAGCTAGATTAAGTTCACAAATTCTTGATGTACATGTAATGAGTCCATTAACATAGTCAACTTGATGTCACATAGACCTTTGTCATGCGGTGGCCATTTTGTAGATCAGGAGATTTAAAAAGCTCTGTTTATTCACAGCTAGCCTCATTCTCTCTACGAGGCTAGCTGTGCATAAACAACGCTTTTTAAGTCTCCTGAGACACAATGGCCGCCACGTGACAAAGGTCTATTGCTCATTATATACTCAGAGATAAAGAAAGAGGGCAAATACCCCACCCACAGTCAACACTGCAGCACTTTTCATTGATCATACAGTCGAGTAGTGGATTCAATGTCAGTGTTATTTTGCTTAATGTCTCCCTTAGATAGTGCCATTCTAATTAAGACTTCATGAGCGATGATACCACTTCATGATTCTTATTTATGTACTTTTACGATATCTGTTCCAAATAGTCAAATATTATGAAAAAGTAAATATAATAGATAGATCAATGATAGTAAAATTAGAAATATCATCACCGCTAAAATATAGTCAAATCCTAGATCAACAGAAATTTTGTTCCATGACAAAACAAATGTCAACTGAGGACAATAGCTCCTGACTTCTGGCTTGATTAAGCAGTGAAGAAATGCAGGCATAAAATCAGGACAGATGAGTCAATCTGCAAATCTGCTGTTGTATCCAGTTAAATCCTCCATGTTTAGTTATATTTAAAAAGCAATGCATGTGCGCACCAAAAGCTCGCGAGTGGCCCTGAGGTTACCAAATACCTGACCTCTGGGCTGCGCATAATTTGCTAATGCCCCACCCACAGGACTGACAAGGCCTGCAATTAAGTTGCCTGGGAGTGTATGGGCGCACCTGGAATTGGCTAATGCATAATAAATAACTGGACCAAGAGACCTTGGAAGACAGTGGAAAATAAAAGATCACTGCCATAGGTTGTCTGCAAATTCACAAAAATGTAATTCATTCCTGTTACGAACATTACAGCCAAAAACTAACCCCTTTTTAAAGAGCTACATTACAGCTCTAAATAAAAAAGTTTCCATCAAATTTTACTCTGACATAGAATTAACACACAGAAATAATATTATGGCAGTGATTCAAGGGAAAACCAAAAAGGTTTAGTACTACAGATTTATACTGTGTGATTTTTGCCCTAATTAGTAAATGTTTAATTTCAAACTAAAAAGGGATATAAATACTATATTCTCTCAGTGCAAACCTGTGGGATTTCAGAACAAGCTCCTTGGAGGCACAGATGGACCGATAAGGGTATCTTGCAGAAAAAACTCAATAATTTTAGGCGGCAGAAGAAGAAATTTTTCCCAAAATGACACCGAAAGTGTGGACGTCTGTTGCTACGATCATCATCTCGGATTACAGTCAAGTCGCACGAAAGTCATCTCACCCGAAGTCATGTTGCCCGAAACCAGAGTCATGTCGCCCAAAATTTATAGTCATGTTGCCCGATATTTTGAGTCATGAAATTTAATAATGCTCAAAAAGATTCTAAAAAAATGCTAGTCAGAGTGAAACGTGAAACTGTGAAACTCAGGTTGTTCATTTCGCTGTCTTTTTTATGGAGATAGTAAACCTAAAATAAAAAACTAGTAATATCAGTTACAGTATGGCTCTTACTGTTGTTTTTATATGTTGAAGTATTCTGTTTTGAAAGAAGGTCCACATCACAATGATTGGAACGTTGGAAAAGGCCACCATCTTGACTACAGCATATGCTCAAGAATCGTCACATGATTGCTAAGCAAGATTGTGACGTTGCGGTAAATTCAGACATGCAGTAATACAAACATATTTATTGCTAGCAACTAAACCTACTTACACGCGAAAATGTGTGCGATTCCTGGTGCATGCATCAAACCAGGTTTAGTTCGACTGCCTTTGTGTCACAAAGTAAATCCACTGAGTTGTGTAGCTCGGCAGCCGTTGGCAGGCCACACAGTAAATTTACCGAGTTGTGTAGCTTGGCGGCCGTTGTGTCACAAAGTAAATCTACCGAGTTGTGTAGCTCGGCAGTCGTTGTGCCACAAAGTAAATCTTATAAATGATACACAGTTTAAATAGAGGTTTCGTTGTACGCAACCCTTACATTCAAAATATGCCATAATCATATTTATCTATTGCAAGAACCATCCAATCTTCCCCATCAAAATGTTACCCGCCTGTACGCCTAACAAACACATCGAACGCACTCTCCTAAGTTCCGATTACTCCTAGTTTATGGCTGTGTATAAAAGTGGGACGGGGACAAGGGGACAGGGACATCGGGACGCGTATGTGGGGACTA